ACACACACACACACACACACACACACACACACACACACTGATGCCACGTCAGAACACACATGCAGCTTTACAGGCTGTGAATGCATGAAGATGCAACATTACTCCACTTAAAAACCCCACAAAAGAGCTGGACTTTTTTTCCCATATTGATGAATTGACATGCAGTGCAATATCCAGAGCTAGTGATTTTACATATTGGTCAGATGTCTCTTCCAGTTCCTTCTGGTCCAGAAAAAAAGTTTCTATGAGGACCAAATTTTCTGGTTGACATTAGGGTGAGACATGTTGAAAAGAAAAATAGCCACAAGTCTTGAGTTTGCATTATTACTTCGTGTGGTTTAAAGGAGTCGTTCCAAATGATTCAGTGAGTCATTAGATTGATTCAAAGTAATAACTCACTTAAAAACCCCACAACAAGTTGGACTTTCCCCCCATATTAATAAATTGCCATAGTCAGATCACCTGCATGCAGTGCAATATCCAAGTTTAAATGAGTCTACAAAATCAGGTTTAACATTTTCAAGACTGATGATTTGAGCTCTGTGTGGAAGAACTAATCGCTGTATTGGTCTGGTTTTTACAAACTTTGTGGTTTCAGTGCTTTGAAGGAAAGTCAGGGTTAGTTTGAAGCAAATAAGTAGATATTCATAAGAAGAAGTGTGTGTTTTGATTTGTTTTCGGCCTTATTACTTTTGGAAAGTAATTAATTTTACTCTAATCAGTTTGCGTACGATCGACTGCAAAGAACTTTATGATGTATTTTTGATTTTTTTCCCCATTCCAGTAGTATAATTGGATTTAGATACAGTATAACCACAGTTCACTTGTGCTTTAGGGTTACTCACTTTACATATTGGTCAGACGGTCTCTTTCGGTTTCTTCTGGTCCAGAATAAGTTTCATTAAAAACCAGATGTCATGGTTGACATTTGCTTGAGACATATTGAAAAGAAATATAGCTAAACGTCTTGAGTTTGCAGTAATTTAGTTCATATGGTTTGTTGAAGAAGTTCCAAATGATTCAGTGAGTCATTATGTTGATTCAAACTGACAACACACTGTAAAAGTTAAAAACTGAATCTGTAAAGATTCATTAAAGGGTTAGTTCACCCAAAATGCTTATAATGCAATAAACAGCTTGACAGATCTAAGACTTAATATAAGTTTTAATATAACTCCGACTGGATTTGTCTGAAAGAAGAAAGACATATACAGCTAGGATGACTTGAGGGTGAGTAATTTGTGGGCTATTTTTTTAAATTTTTGGGTGAACTAACCCTTTAAGCAATCATCATAAGAGTCATTAGTTTTGTTTTTTTTAATCACACTTATGCTCATGCTGGATGTTGTTGTCTGTACTTATTTAACATGTTCTCTGTTTGTGTTATTATTTTGTGTCATTACTTTCATTTCAAAGTGAATCTAATAAAAATAGACCTTCTGTACTTTACCGTGGTATTCGGCCCACATAGACAGAAAGAAGCAGATGTTCAAAAACCATTAAGGAAAATGGAATCAAACATTATGAAGATTCCAGAATTCCAGTATTAGTTTTAAAAACTGAATCAGTTCGAAATAAGAACCAGTTCTTTCCCAGCTAACAGTGAACGTTCCCAGAATGTTATGTTATGAATTAGCATTCTTCCAGTAACTTTAATAGACAATTATTTGGTGTTTAATAATTTTCTCAAAACTTTTATAATTTGAAGTAATATAAACATTTGTGCATAACCAAGAAAAAACATTCATGAAACATTCAAAAAATATGCTCTGAAATAATGTGTTCATAACATAACATTAATGTTAAACAAATGTTGTTAGAACATAGTTTTGTCAGTGGATTTTTCCCAGCACTGCAGGAGAGTTTATTAAACTCATCTCTCTTTCTCTCTCTCTCTCTCTCTCTCTCTCTCTCTCTGTCTATGTTAATTTGTTCTAGCTGTAATTTCTGATTAAGATGAGTAAAGCCCAGCGGAGTCGTGACGGTCCTGCCGGAATGTGTGTGTTCTCATTCTTAAGAGGTCATTTGTTGTCACAATGTTTACGATGCATTGTTCTGTTTCAGGACAGTGTAACAGATCACCATGACGACTGAAATGCAGGAGATCGCCATCACGGAGGAGAAGCCTTTACTGCCGGGCCAATCAGATGCTGTGAAGGTCATCAAACACACACACACACACACACACACACACATATCTGTCATTAACTTATGTTTTGCTGCCACCTGCTGCACATTTGAAGAACGTCAACATACTCAAATATAAAATACAAAAAACAAAACAAACACTGGGGTAATGATTTGTACTGATCACACTGATAGGATGAGCGACAATCGTAAAACGCCTCTTGAGATCGGCATTAATGCACAACATTTCAGTGTTACTTGGCCACCAGACAGCCTGCAATTAAACTAATGAAGTGTGTTATTTATTTGTTAGTGATGTTTGCTAAATCAAGTTACTCTTACACATACTTATAATGAGTGATTGAGAATTAAACTCCAGCGCATGATCTCGTGTTTCAGACAGGAATGATTGTTTAAGTCATGTGTGTTGTTGAGGAGATTGCTGTGCTGGTGTTTTACTAAGTGTTTTTAGTTGCTGGACTATAAAGCATGAGGAAAAATACTACAGATTCACATTGAAAGTTGTTTTTCACCTGTTATTTTTTTCTCGTCTCTTTACATTATGTCAGTCAGTTTAGCGTGAAAAACAGCACATTTGCTTCAAAGACTGTATTTTATCACATCACTGATGCCACAGTTTTATAAAAATCAACACATCAGTGAAGGCTGTGATGCTGTGATTTTCCCATATTTTGCCTGACAGCAGCTCTAAAACTGTGGTAAAACCATGTTAATGCACTTCAAGAGGCTTACTGATTTATTTTATACTTATTATACTTATTCATTCTTTTCTTTCATTTTTGTTAGGTTTAATACATTTTAAAACAAATGTTATCATTTTTTTTTCCTATGTACCTTTTTAAGATCACATTTTAACTATAGTTAACTAAAAATAATTTTTTTAGACATGCATAGTAAACGGAGATATTGGTTCTTGCTGCTGTTATTGAGATTGTGTGATTGTTTTCATGCAGGACGCAGAGACCGCAGCCAGAATACTGCTGGATCAAGGCCAGGTGAGATACAACTTTGCTGGATATACATGATTGATGTACATGCTTCATATAGCTGACAGGTTCATTGATGTTTTTTCTTTAAACAAGTCAGGTTTAGATCTACCTCAGGATGTCACACTTGTCATGTCAAATACCCATTATTACTTTTCATTATCTTGAATTGTATATGCATAAGCATGATTTTATTGAACATTCACCTCTTTCTGTGTGTTTGTGTAGGAACACCGTGTCAAGACGCCTCACGGCGTGCTGCATGTGACGGTTAACGGAGCTGGAAACGCACGCAGACCGGCCATACTGACCTTCCATGATGTGGGAATGGACAGTAAGTCACACACACACAGACGCACGCACGCACGCACGCACAGACACAGACACAGACACACAGACACACGCACGCACTCACACACACACACACACACACAGACACAGGTACACACTCTCTCACACACACACACACACACACACACGCACGCACTCACACACACACACTGACACAGACACAGACACAGACACAGACACACACACACACGCACGCACTCACATACACTGACAGACAGACAGACAGTAAGACAGTTTATTTTACATGAGCACAAATAACACAACTCTGGTTCTAAAAGAAGAAAACAGCTACACTTTTTAAATTATATAAAAAAGAGCTTTAAGGGCATATAAAATAGCTTGCAAAAGCATCCAAATTGAAAACAGCAATAAATGACCATAATTTCTTCAAACCAGCAAACATAGATTTCAGGGAAACTTCTAGAAAGTTGATAAAAATGAAAACCGGGAGGCTTGTGACTGTCCCATTGACTGCCAAGTAAATTACACTGTCACAGCATACGCTCTTCTGTGTCAGCCGCGCCACAAGGATGCGTTGTTTTCTTTCAAATCACAGCGTAAATAGGGTATATGTCGAACATCACCTGACCAAACCCGGAAAACAGGTCTCATTGCTTCCGCTTGTCGGAGAACGTGTTAACAGCCGTATTAAATAATAGCGATATCTATGGACTTTTAAGATAATCAGTTAAACTAGCTAGCTGTTTTTATTGTTGACGTTTTATTCAATTTTTATATCTAAATGTGAAAAGAATTAAAAAAAAAAAAACTTTTAGATATCATTCCACATATGTGATGGACATTGGTTATGATCATCATTGGTATCTACTTTGAAGGCAACACGCTGAAAATGTTTCCTTGTGTCGCGGCTGACACAGAAGAGCGTACGCTGCCTGCGTTCGGCTCATATTCTCCAAAGTGGCGCTACTGTGATGTGGACAGACATAGAGGAGACGAATTGTTGAATAAAGTCGTTATTTTTGTTTTCTTCGCGTACAAAAAGCGTAAGTGATTAATGACAAAATGTATGTCATTTATTTTCAAGGTTATGATTAACCTTGAAAATTTCTTGAAATTATGAGAAGAACTGTAAATATAAGGTCAAGTCATTAAAAAAAAAAATATATATATAAATGATTTTTGCCCTAGGTTTTTACATTATGGATTATACATGTATTCACTATGGCAAGTAGGTGGCACTGTCTCAAATTTGCTTCTGTAAATTCAAGGCTATATAACAAGTTTTATTTTTTAATAAAACAAAAAGTTATGTTGTTATGTTTTCAACAAGTTTTACCAGCACTGCCTAAAGATGATCTGATCCAAATGTATAAAAGATCAGATTTTAAACAGTTTGACGAATTACAAAAAAGTATATTATCAACAAAATTTGACATAATCTGAATTCATTATATGTAGCAAAGCAATAAAATGGTGTTGGTGTACCTGTTTAGTGTCTGAGAACCACATGGCAGTCCTTGTATGTGAGTCTTTCCTCTCATTAGTGGTTGGATATTTTGTGCTGTCAAAGTAAAAAAAAAAAAGAAAAAGTGTGAAACTATTTTATCAGCACATCAGCATTTGTTGCAGTGCAACATACACAACTGTTCAAATGTTTAGGGTCAGGGAGATTTTTTAAATATTTTTGAATGAAGTCTCTTCTGTTCACCAAGGCTGCATTTATTTGATCAAAAATACATTAAAACGGTGAATATCATTACAATTTAAAATAGCTGTTTTCTACATGAATATGTCTTAAACTTTCATTCCTGTGATCAAAGCTGAATTTTCAGCATCATTACTCCAGTCTTCAGTGTCACATGATCCTTCAGAAATCATTCTAATATGTTGATTTGCTGCTCAAGAAACATTTCTGATTATTATCAATGTTGAAAACAGTTGTGCTGCTGAATATTTTTGTGGAAATCATGATACATTTTATTTTTCAGTATTATCTGATGCATAGAAAGCTCAGAAAAACAGCATTGGTTTGAAATAGAAATAATTTGTAACATTATAAATGTCTTTATTAATAATAATTATAATAACAATAATAATAATAATAAGAAGAAGAGTGATTAATAATAATAATAATAATAATAAATTAATTAATTAATAAATTAATAAATAATCATATTAATACTATTAATAATAATCTGGCAAGAGCAGCTTCCAAATCTTCTATGCTTATCTTGCTGGATCTGTCTGCTGCTTTTGATACGGTGAACTACCAGATTCTCCTGTCAACCCTATTGGAAAATGGCATCTCAGGAACCGCACGCCAGTGG